CTCAGATCAGTTTTTTTTTCCAGCTGTGGTTGTGCATCAAGCCCCAGTGCAGAGCCCAAGGTGATGGGTAAAACCCATCCATGTGGGACAAATCAAGGTTGTTTGCAGCCTTTAAGTAAAGGCACTCACAGGCTGGATTCACCCAAAATGGGCAGGTGGAGGAAGTTTTAGAATAGAAATAGATGTTTGGTTCCTTGTTCAGTTAAGTTCATTGCTATTTTCAGGTAATTGGTGCTAAACTGCAGAAGGCACCTGGCTAGGAAAGGACAAGAGAAGGATGGGGGTAACTGCTCTGCCTGGAGACAGGAGATGGTGAAGAACACTGAGCAGTGGTAAGTCCTGAAAAGAAAATCTGCCTCTGTCCTTCCCTCTCTGTTACAAAGAAACAGCATGGGGCACAGCAGCTGCAGCAGCCAACAGCAGGAAAAGGATGGGGAGTGCCTAAAATACTTCTTGACTCTGACTGAATCTTAGGACTGCAGAGTTCTGCCTTCCTCTGTGTCCCCCACCCCACAGCTAGGAGGAAATTTGGAGCTGAGAAGGCCAGTGGTGGAGCCTGGCATGAAAGACACCCCTGTCAGAACTGGGATTTTGAGGCAGAATGATCACTGATACTAACAGCACTTTTGAAAAAAAAATACTATTTTTGCTAGCTCTTTCCCCTCCTGTATTTTTTTTTTCCTCAGCTGGATCAAAGGAATTTGTTTTGCTGGTTTCTCTTTTATTTCAAGTCATCTTTGTTTTTCTTTCTGTTTGTTAATTTTCCCCAGAATGGTCTTCAAAGTTGGGGTTGGAAAGGCTGCAGGGGAATTTTGGTTGTCAGTTTGGTTTATATTTAATATCACTGTTGTAATGCTATCTGAATGTTTTGCTAAATGAATTTTTGCTTGGTTTTGCTTTCACCTTGATTTCTATGATGCTGCTTCAGACAAATGGTAGCCCTCTCTCATGGGAAAGAAAAATCAGTTGAACAAAGCTCTTGGTTTGGAAAGATGAAGGTAGAGCTGTGATGGCTGTTCTGCATCAGAAAAAGAACTGCCAAACCCCACCATAAATCTCCCACCTGAGGAGGGTATCTCACACTGTGCCCAGAGCATGTGTGCCCAAACACTACCAAGGAGACTTTGAACCACCAGGACTGGCTAAAATCAATGTATAACATTTTCCCTTAAAAGATAGGATCTCTGGAAACTCCATCCCCTTCCCTCCCCAAAGGCACGTTTGCCCTGTGGAAAATGAGCTTTTCCCCCATGGATTCTAGGTAAGGCTGCACATTTTGTGTCACTGATAGGGACACAAACGCTGGCTGGGTGTTTGTGGTGACAGGCAGTGGTGGGAGGATTTGCTATTTGCCTGATATGCTGTTCTCTGATTTAAGTTTGTTAGCCCCCTCAGGCTCAGCTGTGGCTCCCTGCCAGTATTTGATCACATTTTCAGAGCAGGATTAATTGTGCTTTATTGCTCACCTAACAGAGCAGTGTCATTTAGGTTGAAAAAGACCTTTGTGATCATCAAGCCCAACCATTACCCAGCACTGCCAAGCCACATCCCAAGTGCCACATCTACATGTCTTAAACACCTCCAGTGCTGGTGACACAACCACTTCCCTGGGCAGCCTGTTCCAGTGCTTGACAACCCTTTTGGTCCAGAAATTTTTCCTAACATCCAGTCTAAACCTCTCGTGGTACAACTTGAGGTCAGTTCCTCTTGTTATATCATTTGTTACCTGGGAAAAGAGGCTGACACTCACCTTGCTACATCTTCTTTTCTGCTAGTTGTGGAGAGTGATAAAGTCCCCACTGAGTGTCCTTTTCTCCAGGATGAACACACTCAGCCATTCCTCATAAGGCCCATTCTTTGGAGGAGGGAGAAGATGTGCCCTGTAATTTAGTGACCATTCATTCTAAATGAGAAGGTTAATAGCTTGCCCACTTCATATTTTAACCCTAAGCTTTTTTCCCCTCTCTAATTGTAAAGCATAATAGGTTTTATTTCCATAGGGCTGTTCCCTATGGGGTTTTGTCTGGATGTATAAATCAAAGCCTTCCTGACACATTTTGGGGCTTGGGGGTAAATTCTGCCCACACCCAGGGCATGAAGTGGGGTCACCCAGCTGCCAGCAAAGTCACCCCATTTTGCCTGCACTGCTGGGAAGAGGCAGGGGAAGGATGGGCACTCAGATAACTGGCAGGATGGCTGGGTGCTGAGCACTTTGCAAATGGGATTTTTGACCTGGGTGATTAACCTGGAGTGGCTGGGCTCTTGTGGTGCCACGATCCAGCAGGATCTCGGTATCTTGGGGGCTGGGGCACACAGACAGAGCTGCTGGCACACATTCCTCTCTTTCCAGCAGGAAAATGAGGCTTAGACATGAAGGTGAACCAGGAAGGGTAGGTGTGGGAAACCCAAACCCCGAGAGCTATTAAGTGCAGAAGAAGGAATAAATCAGCTGGCCCTTCTCCTTGCCAATTTCTCCTTTCTCCATTGCCTATTTACTTGTATTTTCATCGGTTCACAGGCTTAAAACAAGTCAGTGCTTCCACAGGCGCAACCGTTCCACCACAGGCAGGTGGTTTGCAGCAGGATCCTCATCTTGAGCTCTGGGAAAAGCAGAAGTGCATTGGCAGAGCTGTTTGTGGAGCTGGGAACAGGAACCTAGAGGTTCTTCTGGCCAAGACTGAGACCTGTTTATCAGATCTCTGGTCAGGAGCCTACGGCATCCTTCCTGCCTTAACTGTAAGGAGCACCAGCAGCTTGTGTTGATACCCTGCTAGCATGGGAACCTTTGGTGCTGAGCCTCAGGTGTTTGGTGAGAGCTGCTAAAAGTGAACCAGCTGGAGGAGTCAATGGGTGACAGTGTCACTAACAGCACAGGCAGGTCTTTTCTTTCCACTTCTGGGCTGGTGACAAGGAGAGGTGAGCAGCCACTGTCACTGTGTGGCTGCATCCAGCCCTGGAGGAAGCACTGAGCTGATTTTCTGAGCTGAGCACCAGGCTGAGGTACAGGGCTGTGCTTCTGGTGCCTTGGAGGATGAAAGTGATATGTGCAAAGTGTAAAGCCATTTCCCAGCCCCTGTTGAAAGGCAGTGGGAGGAGCAGCCCCCCTTCCCCAGGCTACTATCAGCCCTTGGCTACCCAGGCTCCCCCACCTCAGCTGACACAGCTGCTGGAGAGGCTGGGGTCAGAAGGGGTGCAGGCAGCCCCCCATCCCAATTTCAGGCATCTCAGGTCTTTTCTAACAGCCCCTAAGTCCAAGACTGTGCTCCTGTGCTTCTCTCTTAACCTGTGACAGAAAAAGCTGAGTATCTCAAAACTCCCTAGTTACCAGCAGGACTGTTCTGGGAAAGGTCTGGAGATGATTCACTGGATTAGTCACTAGCTCTTTTTTTTTTTTTTGAGGCCAGGCACCTAAAAATCCCTTCAGTCCATGAATTTCTCAGCCATCCCCCATTTCAAGCTGCCTACAGTCACTTTCCTCTGAGTGACTTGCCAGGTTTTGAAAGTCTTTCATGGACCTTCTTCTGTTTCCCTTACACTGGAACCAACATTGTGTCTAAACCAGCTTAAATTATGTTTATCCCGGGTGAGTTTAATTACACATTAAGTAAACCAGTTAAAGTGCAGCTTAACTGTTTCAAGAGCAACTACATCAGGAAACTGAAAATAAATCAATTTTGTTATATGTCAGGGAGATTTTTCTACAAGTAGGGCAGTCCTCACACTAAAGCCAGTACCAGGAATATCAACTCCCTGGCCTTGGTATTTACAGAGAAGCTGGATTAAGTCACTCCACCTCATCTAGAATAATAATGTTTAGCATTTTACAATTTCAGAGCAATAAACACAGAGACACCATGGTAATGAGAACTGACAAGGCACTAGCATTAACTAATTAAGCCTCACAACTTCCCTGAGGTATCAAAATATGACCGTTCCCATTTTCTAGATGAGGAAAACATACATGAATTGATTTACTCACATACTCAGAGCAATTCAGTGAAAGAGCTAGAACCATGGCTCAGTCCTGCTAATGTTTGGATGGCTGCTCAGCCCTCTGTGAGGCTCTGCCTTATTTCTAGACCTGTGCATCAGCACAACCTGGTATCCTGCTCTTAGCAAGATTTAGAGATCAATCACTTCCCATTTCTGCTGACTGCCGTGGAAGGAAATGGGATTTGAATATCTCTCCAGCCAAGTGCAGCAGCAGAGAGTGGAGGAATTGGTGATGTTGGAAATGGATGCTGGTGAAGTCACAAGTTACTCCCCAGGGAAACAGCATAGCAGAAAAAGCACCTGGCAGGTGTGTGTCCAGTGAAGATTTGGACGGGCTGTGCTGGCTGAAACCACCAAGGGCTTCCCACATCTGTGGCAATTGGTGTACACAAAGCATTTTTAATCTGTAGGGGTTTGATGGTTTACACCAGTGTTGCACCTGACCCAAAAACCTCAGTGGGGAGCACAGCTTTGGACCCAGCACTGAAAAGGAACCATCTTGCTCTGTGCAGTAGGTGCTCAGCACTTCTCATAGCATTTCTTAGACAAGAAATACAGCTTCCCCTCACATCACATCTTCAGTTCCAGGCTGTGGAACACTGGTTACAACAGAGAAACCTTCAGCCACTCTGCCAACTCTGCTCAGACACCACTAATCCCCATCTAAGAAGGTGTTGAACAGAGAACTGAATTGTTGTGGTATTTTAATTCCCCTGTAGGAACATAGCCCATCTCTCCTGGAGTGACCAGTGAGGACCCCTCTATGCATGGAGCACTGTGCAGCATCCTCTGCATTTTGTCTGGGCTGTTTTCTCTGCCTGTGAGTGCTTTTCCCCCACGCTGGTGAATCCCAGTGAGCCTCTCCCTGGTGTTTGGAAGCAGTCCTGGAGCACAGGGCACAGCTATCAGCACCACTGCTGGCTGCTGGTCTGGAAACAATTAAACATCTCTTTGTTTACGCCGAAATGCTGCTGCCTGCCTGTGGGATAGCTGTGGGCAGCAGGAGCAGGGACAACAGAGCTGGGGAGGCAGACAAGAGTAGGGGTTTGTGTCTCCACTCTGCTTCCCAATGAGGTTTCTAGGGCAGATCACTGGCTCCCCATCTCGTTTTGTGGCTGTCCAAGCCAGCTCGTGTCTGACTCATCTCTCTGCCAGATGTGCCAGCAGCAGCTGTGAGTGTGGATGACCACAAGCAAACCCCCAGGCAGCAGACCCCTCTCTACTGTTTTTTGGGGAAAGACTTGGAAAGATCCTGATTCCCTGGCTTGAAATCCATTGCCACAAATTATCATTTGCCTGTTGATTGCTCTCAAGGGGACAAAACATCAAGTTACAACCTGTGGTTTTCAGCCCCAGTGGGTTAGGAGCAGAAAATCTGTTGAGACCTAAGGCTTAGATCTGTTGGTTTGATATGTAGTTCAGTAAAGCACACAGGAGAGGAGCCACGATGAAGGCTGCTTTGCCACATCAGTGCTAGCCAAACTCCCAGTAGGGAGATGCTTTTCAAGGAAGCTGCAAGCTAAAGAGGCCCAATGTTGCTAATTTTCTGCCTAAACCAATGGTGATGTGTTCAGCTGCTGCTTTGCTTCCTGGACAGTGGGGCTACACTTCAGTAATGTGAATTACTTCTCCTTTCCAGTGGTTCCTTCAGCTGCAAACAGTGTTGTGGAGTAAATATGATATAACAAAGAGCATCCATCAGATTTTCAGATGCTAGGTCAGGTTTTTAGAGTGACTCCTTTCACACTGGACAAATGGAATGTGTGCATCCAGGGGACAAAAGAAATTCTGCACAGCTCTTTCACAATTGCAGCGTCTGTGACACAACAGCCTGAGGAGCTGGAGAGTGCATTCTGGCCAAGCAACAAGTTCTTCAGCACATGCACCTCAAACCCTTGCATGCAGGCTGCAGGAGTCATGGAAAACCTTCTGGTGACTCAAAGCTAGAGAGAAGTGTTTGTGTCCCAGCTAAACCTGCAGCCCTGTTGGTGTCAGCTGAAGTTTAATGCAGCTGTATTGATACCACGTATCCCACTTCAGCAACAGACCTGTGCAAGCTGGTTCACGGCATCACCATGCCAAAAAAAAAGTGGGAATGCCAGTTTTCTCTTGTTCTGCTTCTGTTTCCAACTCCTGTCTCCCACACTTTCCAGCACTGTCCCTGTTCTCTCTCATGCCTCCATTTCACAGCTGTTGTCTGTGCCCACCCATCTCTTTTCTATTCTCTGCCTTGACAACTGGCTCTCCTTTTTATTGACTCCCTCATCTTTTCTCTTGATAACTTAAAACTTCACATTGTTAGGCTGTTGAGATTGTACATTTTCTACCTTCCTCATCTCACCTTCTCATGCAGCCCTGCAGTATCACTCACCAGCAGATCTCTCCTTCATTGTGCATTTCTTGGTTTATTCAGCTTCTCCCTCCCTGACTTTGCCATCTCTCAGACATTCCCCACTCTCTCTTTACCTCACAGCATTCCAGCTCCTTCCACTCCACAAGAGTTTGTGACTACATACTTTTCCTTACCCCCTGCTAATCAGGAAGGAGATGCATTTACTTCCCCCTCTCAGAGTATTTTCTCTCACCCCCTGCTTCCCTTGTGTCTCTCTCATCCTACACTGTCCTCTATTTCAAATCTGTTTTGCTCTTTCAACCACTCCTCTTGGCTTTCATGCCTCTTCTGTCAGCCCCTTGTGTGCCACTGCTTTCCCTACTTCTTATGGAATCATAACTAGTGGCTCAAAAGAAGTAATTATCAAAATACAACATGGCTTTTTTTTTTTTTTTCCTCTTGCCTCTCCTGGTTTAGTTAAAAGAAGCAAAGTTTCTCTTCTGTGATCCCTCTAGCTGCCTCCATGACTCCAGCTCTACCACTACCCAGAAAAATCTGTGTCTTCATTTTCACTGTATGTGCTTCAGTTGCCTTGATTTGTTTTCTGAGTAGGAAAAGCAGATCCAGGGGTCAAAGCCAGACCTCCCAGTGCTAAATTCTGCAGCCTCTGCTCTGTTCAGGGAGGCTTTGCAGCTGTCCCATGTAAACCACAAAACCTCTTTGCTCAGGAGGCATTGAAAAGGGAACAATAAAATTGAAGATGCATCAAAATATGAAGAATCCTAGAAGACAGGGGTGATATTAGCTGGCTAAATCACACCTGTCTTCTACTTCATAACTCAGCAAAAAGAAGCAAAGGCAGTAGGATTTGCTGGTGTTAGATTGTTGAGGGAGGTCAACCCAAAGAAAGAAGCAGTAAAATTCAGACAGGCTAGAAAAGGGAGATGAAGCTCTTCACAGCCAGAAATGTGAAAGTTCTGTTTTGAAGAAACAGAAGTGTTAGGCTTTATCTATTGTTAAATAATTTCTACTGAACTAGGAAAACTTGAACTTCCCAAAGCCAAGTCCTTCTGAGAATGTGCTGCCAGTAAGAACAGAGTATGAGGTTTGGTTGGTCCTTCTTAAAGTGCTTTTGATTCCTTACAAGGGAAGACTGCAGTTCCTCCTGAGCCTAGTTTTTAGGCACATAGTCTACCAGGCATAGCTCAAAAAGTGGTGGAAATGCAAGGCAGTTAAGAGTTCTTTTAAAAGACATTTTTATTAATGATAATATTGCTTTAGCTGGTGAGGATCTGACCTGTGCCTGTCAGTAATCTATTATGTCTCAGAGGCAGGCTACAGGAGATCTACCTGTCATCAACCCAACATTGCATTTAAGCTTTAGACCAGGCAGAGATGAGTGTTTCTGGAGAAAGTGGAAAACACTCCTCCCTTCTTTTTGTTTCTAAATGAAATTGTCATAAGGAATGGGGACATGCAGTCTCACCCACTCTACCACCTTTTTTCAAATTTGCTTTTGGCACTTTGAGTTTGGCATTTTTTTTTTTCCCCTTAGGATAGTGAGCTCACAAATCCAGAGATGAACTGGAACAACAAAAACAAGAGGCTTTGATTTGGTCCATCAGCCCCAGTGTGGCTCTACACGATAAGGACTCAACCTTCAGCCAGTTTGGGAAAAAGGATGAGAAAAAGCACAGAGCACAGGGGAGGAGTGTAAGTATGGAAGGTAGTGAGCAGCCTGGATTGGATATTGAGCTGAAAAATCAGTACCAGCAGCCTAGAAAAAAAAAAATAAATAAAAATATCCAGAGGAAGAATATAGCATACTTGGAAAGGACACTGGCCAGAGCAGGCTTTGGTTTTGTTAGTTAGGACAGGAAACTCCTAACCAAAGGTGGCTTGGAAGAGAAGGAGCACATGGATCAAAGAAGAGGAAATGCCAAAGAGCATTCACCAAGTCTCTGCTCACTGCTGAATAGCAGTGGGAGAGCAGAGCTTTTTGTGCTTGAATAAGAAGTTTAAAGAAGTCATTTAAAAACAGTGTAAGAACCTAGAAAAAGGAAACAACCTTAAGTGGTTGTGGGCAGCCCCTAGCATCCTGGAATAAAAAGAACAATATAAGAGGAAACACAGTCCAACAGAAATAATGGGGACGATAGAGGGAGCCAAATTAATTCAAAAAAACATCAGGCAAAATTGGTACCGCAGTTCTTCTGACAAAAAGAGAGATTAGGAGTCTTCATTTAAGGTTCACAGAGTTCTTAGCAGTGTAGAGAGTGGGGATACTACAAAGCTGTTTGACCCAGTGTCAAGAACAAACCAAGATGCAGCAGTAAGATAAGGCACAGCTGGACATTACAGGAATTCAGGGAGGAATGTCAGCATAGAGCAAGACAGAAACACAACATAAACTCCCTTTACACGGCCAGGGGACCAAGAGTTAGCTCTGTGGAAGAATTGGGCATTAGGTAATACTGTAGAATTCTGTAGCTGGCCTAAAGGAGACTGTACCTGAGGATTTGTCACCTCTAGATTTTACCCACAGAGCTGTTGGTATTTTTTAGTGCTCCTGCTTGTTGACAAAGTGCTCTGAGCTCGCCTGCCCTCTCCTCTCAGTTACTGCAGGGAGCTGGAGCTGGCTCAATCCAGCACAGGCAGACACAATACACAAGAGATCAGATACTGCCTTGCTCAAGATCAAGTCTTGCAGTCATTGTGCCTTGAAACACAGTCAGGGTTGGTCTCCTTCAAACAATAAATGAACCAAGTCAAAAGCTTTTGGGGAAAGCAGATGCAAAGGCTGAGCTTAGAGAGATAACTAATAAAACACTAAAAAATGGAGTACATTTTGGCAAAAACCTTGGTGAGGAAGGCATAGGAAATCTTATTTTTTGTGTGAAATTTACAGCCAAGGAAAGCAAGGGCTGTGTCTGAAGAAAAATCAGGTGTCTGATGGCACCTTTTGTGTCATCCTCTTTGCCATGCCATTTCTCAAGGGACCCTCACAGACCCCCAAAGAGCATAGCAGTTGCAGCAGATGAGCCTGGTAGCCCTCCTAATCCAGTCTTCTCACTTCAACAGTTGCTACTCTCTGATACTTCAAAGAAAGGTGCAAGAAACCCCATAGTGGACAATAATAGAATAACCCGCCCACAAGGGAAGTTTTTCCCCTAATCCCTCGCCATCAGTTAGTGGTTATATTGTGCCTTGAAGCCTGACAGTTTATATCCCTTCTAAAATTTATTTATATCCTGTCTAATGTGACCATGAATGTTCTTGGTATCCATATAAATGTCTAATCCTTTTCTGAATCCTGCTAATCTCCCGGCCTCAATGAAACCTCGTGGTAACAAATGCCATGTGTTAATTACGCACGGTACAAATATTTCCTTGCACCATTTTAAATTCGCTTCCAATCTCACTGGGTATCCCTTGATCCCGCCATAGGAGAAAGGGCAATGAAATCAGAGCTTGTTCTTTCTTGCTGAGCCACGCTGCTGCTCCTTGATTTGTTTCTTCTCTAAACTAGCTGTTCCCATCCTCAGCCAGTTTTCCCTGGTCGGGCTGTTAGGCAGTGGCCTGGCACACAGCACAGAGCTTATAGCTTCACCTTTTTCTCTGTTGATATGTTCATTTGGAAGGGAAAAAGGGAGAGGAGACCCTGGAGATCTCAGAAGTGGGTGCTAGTTGGAGGCTGAGGTCAGACTGTTCTGTGTCAGCAGGTGTTAGCAGCAATATGGTGACACTGACTGATGCCACCAGCCTTTCCCTCTCTGAGCAGAGGCAGAGCAGGGCGTCTGCAATGTGTTTTCCCCTTCAGGCTGCTCCTGAAAGGGGATAGATATCTCCCTCCAGCTCCAAGCCGGGCATTTCACTGTTTCCTGGCATCCACGCTGGTTAAGACCAGGCGGTGGGATAAACCCAGCTGTGAAGGAATTTCCCTCACCCACAGCCCAGCTCCGCACAGCTCCGCTCTGCCAGGACTGTGCTTGGACTGCAGCGGTTTCACTGCGGGTAGGAAAGCTGAGGCAGCCGGGCACAGTGATGCTTGGTCATTTTGAAGCCGTGCTGCCCACAGAGAGCTCGTGGGGTGATGCAGTGACGGCACACTTGGTGTTTCACCGCAGCTCCGTCCCATTAAGGCAGCTCCACCAGCAGGTCATTAACACCCGCCTGTCGCCGAATGTTTTCCCGCAGTAGTGCTCAAAACAGGGCCGCGTTGCTCTTCACCTCCGAGCCAGGAGGAGCGGGGGGAGCGGGAGCGCGGGTGACACCCGGGGGTGCCTCAGGAGCGCGTCCGGCTCCTCGTGGCGGCCGCACGCGGAGAACAAGAAGCGCCGCTTGCGCTCCCGCACTCAGAGACACGAAGTGAGAGCAGAAACCCTGCGGGGCTGCCCGGGCTTCGCTGCACCAGGAGCCACCCCCGGCAGCCCCCCGCAAACGCCGGCGTCGCCGGAGCGCCGCGACTCGTCCGGAGAGATGGGATCGTAGCCGTCCGCCGGGCACGGCCCGCCGGG